AAAGATGAAGATTTTTCACACCTGTTCAATTTGGGTCACTAGGAAGGGTGGAGATTCCCCAGAATTTTAGGCTGTTGCCTTCATGGACCCACAGGGCTAGGAAAGCTCCTACCTCACTCTGCAGGAATAACAAGAAGTTTTCTTGACCCAGCCACTCTTGCTTGGGCATGGATCCTTGTTCCCAAGTGCTGAGCACATGACATCAGCACAGCCTGAATTTGGAAGGATGGAGAGGTTTCCAAGGCCTTAGAGCATGGCTGGCTGTGATGGAGATGAGCTAACGTGGGCTCAGAGGAGGACGTGAGGTGTTGCCCTGAAAATCAAGTTTTCTGACATTGTTTTCATAGTTTCTAAACACTTTCCCAGGAAAGTAACTATAAACATGGATGTTTATACATTCCATTAAAGGTATGTCTTTTGATGGACATTTCTTACAACCAGTGGGGTTGGGAAGGTGATAACCTGACTGTCCAATCCCTGGTTGTTGTTGAGAATCTATAAATACTGAAATGACAGAATAAAGTTGGTTCTTCCTCTACCACACCTCGAGCGGTGTCTGTGTAAATCATTTCATGTCTGACAGTGACAGTGGGGTGCTGCCTACAGCTCATATCTATGCTGTGGCTGTTGGAAACCAAGGACAAATGACAGATCTGTTCCTTTCCAGCACCTTTTCCAGGCCATGGCAGTGAAGCCCTGTAGAGCTGGGGCTGCCCCTGGATCCCTGGAAGTGTCCAAGGCCAGGCTGGACAGGGCTTGGAGCAGCCTGGGACAGTGGAAGGTGTCCCTGCCATGGCAGAAAGGGGATGGTATGAAATGAACTTTAAGGTTCCTTCCAACTCAAATCATTGGATTCTGTGAATACTCTCAGCTGCAGGTCACCAACTGGAAGTTCTTGCATCCCTCCTTTCTTGGCAGGAACAGTTTGTGCATCGTGTTGAGTGATGCCCTTTCCAGCCTCCACCAGGAGCCATTCCCACTCAGATCCATCCCTGGCTGTGGTGCTGCAGAGGAGTCGAGGGCAGCTCACACCAGGGAGCCCCACAGGGACATGGAAATTCAGTGTTCAATTGCCTTGTGGTGGCACCGAGATGGTTGAGAAGGGAAGGGCTGGGCTGGGAGCCGGGAGCTTCGATCTGGCTACCAGCCAAACCCTCCCAGGTGAAAACCACCAGAAATATTAAATGAAGGCCTTAGAAAGAGACTAATCCCATGTCCCAGATCTGTCAGTGCCTTGCTTCCCTCCCCTCTCCCCAGCACCACAGCTGGACTCAACTGCCCTGTGGCATCAGGTCCGGCAGCTCCAGCCAGATAAAAACTCTCCTGTTCAGCACTCCTGGCCTGAGCCACCTCGGGCCTCTCACACCCCACATCCTCCCACTGCTCTGCTGGACAGGGTCCTCTCCCTCCTTCAGGACACAGGAACCCCAGAGCTGCTGTGCTAACCATCTCAGGGAAAAGTGGAGCTGGAGCTGGACATCCAGCTCTGGCAAACAAGGATCACCCCCCAGCTCTGCTTTAAGCACCGGGCAGAGCATTTAAAGATCAAAGAGACCGAGCCACTGATGATGTCGTGGTGGATCCCATGGGAGATTGCTGGATGCCAGGGATGTGTCCCTGAGCTGCAGAGGTCACAGGCTCTGCAGACTTTCAGCTGCTCTGCAGCGAGGGCTGAGCAAATCCCCAGGGATGAATCCAGCATCCAGCAGTGAGTTTGATCAATGCACTGCAATTCCTTATCTCCCACGTGGCTGGGCCACACGTTTCGAAGGAAACCCAACCCAGCCTGTCCAGGATGGAGCACGATCAATCCCAATGTGCCAGCATTGACACATGTCTGGGTTTGGTCTGAATCCCTTATCAGGCAGCGGCACAGCTCCACATGGAAAAGCTTCAGCCACACAGACATTTGAGTGCCCTTGTCTGCCCTCCAGTCCCACAGCCTTTCCTGGGATCATTCATCCTGCATAGACCATTAGCACACCCCCAGTTTGAGATAAATTACCCAAATCTTTAAACCTCTGCTCAGAGGGAATCCCATGGGGTGGCTGTTCACAGTCAAGTCCCTCTGTGAAGGCATCCCTATGGAGCCAGAGCCATTAATACAGCATTCCCAAAGAGCCTGCAAATTACATAGTAGCAGGAAAATGGGGCTGGAAAAGCAGGAATGCTGCTTAAAGCCATGCCACAAGGATCATGAGAATACTGGCTTTGGGTTTGCTCTGCTTCCATGATTTGCCAAAGGCTTTTATTTGAGAGCAGCGCAAAGATAAAGGTGTCACCCATCCTTAGGGCACAGTGCCTGTGCACAGGAGCCTGCAGGGAAACAGGCAGGTTCCCTGGGCTTCACCCTCTAGAAATGGTGACAACCCTACCAGAAATGGTGGGATTTGTGGAAAAGTCCAGAGGAAAAGATGCCAGTGAAGAGAAGAGAGACTGGAGAGCATGGGAAGGCAGAGCAAACAGAACTCATTAGAGAAGGGAGTAGATGTACTACCTGGGGCTGCTCCAAAATCTGCTCCCAAATGTGCTTTGGTTTTTTTTTAAATAGGATATTGATTTTGTTTCCGCTTTTTTTTTTTTCTTTTTTTTTTATTTTGACTGATGGAGTGTTTCAGAGAAATGTCTACTTTGGTGGAATTTTATTCCTTTTTAATTAAGGAATCAATAGCAAAAAAAGGCAGCAACATGTCAATATGGGAAATGTTTTGGTCTTGTTCCTCTTGAAAGGTGATGGCAAATCCAAGCAGGTTTGGCCTGACCTGGGAAATGAGGTGAGGAAAGAGCAGGGGAGGGAGCACCAGGTGTCTGAGTGATGGCTCCCAGGAGTTTCTGCAGCAGAAATAGTTGTATTTCCTCCTGACTTTTTTGCTTGATTTTTTTATTGTTTTCTCTTTTCTGGCAGTTCTCATTATTGTTCTCCATCCAACACCTCTGAAATGTTATGGGCTGAGAAGCAGCAGCTCCCCTGGGGCTGTTCCCCTCCTTAGACTGAGATGTGCACAAAGCAATTAGGACAGCACTAATGACATCCCAGCTCCTGCCTCCTGCTCACCAATCCCAGCTTTTACCATCCCAGCTCCTGCTCCCCAATCCCAGCTCCCACCACAGGAGGTTCCTGCTCACCAGGTGTGATTGGCTCTACCAGCTTGAAGCAGAAATGACCCTGCTTAGTCCCAGCAAAGGAGCCTCCAAGGACACAGAACAAGCTGGGAGGTGATGCTGCTGTTGGTAATGGAATATCAGCTTTTCATTCCATGGGGAAGCCCACTTTGAGGGCTTCTACCAGACCTTTTCCCATTATTCCCACTATCCAAGTGCATGAGGAACTCTTGCTCGGTTTGACTCACAAATTTATCCCAAAGTTTATATTTCATAAACCCATAAATGGTAACAGATAATTAAACACCATCACTGTACTCCTGGTCTGGAGCCCCAAGGTGATGCCTTGGGATGCTCCAGCTCCCTTGCTCTGAGCTGTTTTGGATCTCTTCCCAACACAGCCATGGACAGCATGAATAGTTGGAGCTGCTGCCAGGCCATTGTTGGTCACAGCTGCTTTTCCTGGTGGCAGAGGCAGCCCAGCCAAGAGCTGCAGGGTTTGGGATGCATTCCTGGACCACTGGCAGCCAGACATCCTGGTGCTGCTCCTTTGGGATGGGACGAGAGCTATCCCATCCCATCTGTCACAAGGAGAGGTGGATCTGCTCCCACTGCCATGGGGAGGCCACTTAAAGTGCTCAGCTTGTCCCGCTGGCACAACCCTCACGCCCAGCCACGGGCCCAGGGCTGCCAGGAGCCCCCACTCTGGATTTCCCTGGTGGGGAGCACTGAGAGAGATCCACTGGCATTCCCCAAAGCACCCATCACCATCCTCCTCCTGCTTCCTGAGGGTTTAATCAGTTGGGTCCTGGCTGCTGAAGGGAAGAGAGGTGAGAAAGTCCAAAATTAGTTGGCCCAAGGGGCAGGACAGAACCCTGCCATGTCACAGCTGAACTGTGACACCTGAACAGTGTCACAGCAGGACAGAAACTGTGCTGGATGGGAAGGGAATGGGAAAAAATCCTACTTGGGAATTTAGTTTTTTTTTTTTTTTTAACAAGAAGTTCTGAGTTAGCACAAAAGTAGATGTTAGGAAGATGTCAAAACACAGGTTTTGGGTTTTTCCCTGCCTAACCTTTCATTTTTGGAAAGGCTCATGTGAAATTTGTGGCCACTTTCAGGCACAAAACCCCCTCTGCTACCCTGTCCCAGCTGGAATGCTTTCCCAGCTTTGACTCACACAACAAACAGCTCCCAGTGAGTTAATCAGGCATGGGAAAACAGCTCTGGACCACTGGCTCCATCACTTTATGAGCTCTCATTTTGGGACAAGCTGTGCCTGACCAGAGAGACAGGGCATGCAGGCCTGGAGGTGGTGGTTAAATAGAATAGACTGAGGAAGAAGATGCAAAAAGCTGGAAGAAGGGGGATCCAAGTAGTGGTTGGTGGGAAACTGTCTGGAAAGGATGAGGTTTGTCTGGACATGCAGGCTTAGAAGGCAGGGAGTGATGCAAAGCTCCTTCCCAAGCTCCCCACTCATCCCTGTAGCCCATGGAGCCATTTGCCAGCCCTGTCCCTGAACCCTCATTGTTATTCACAACAGCCCAATGGTGCTATTTAACAAGCCTAATAATTAGAAAACACCACAAGGTTCAAAAGTGGAGAGGCTGCTCGGAGGCTGATGAGGGAAGGAAGAGACAGTGGGATCCAAATCCTGCCTGCAGCAGGAGGGGACAGCCAAAACCTGGTTCATCCCTGTCTGACCAACCTCCAGTGGCAGCAGCAGATTCAGGGGCAGCAGCCCAGGGTGAGGGCCCTGTGTGAAGGCTGGAGTCACTCTCCAAGTTCCCCTCGGCCCATCCAACTCCCACGGATCCGGCAGCATCCGCCCAGAGCCGGCTCTCAGCAAAGTTCTCTCCTTGCCTTTCAAAGTGCTGGAGACCAGGATGGCACATCAGGGGAACTCCCAGCCCCTGGGTACTTGTCAGTTATCCCTGAGACGCTCCAGCTAATTATTTTTATCCTTCATGAGTCGTGTGGCATTCCAGAGGTGCGGAAAATAGGACATTCTCGGCATCTCTCTCTCTCTGACATGGGCTAATGGTGCCTGGAAATTGCTGCTCCGTGTCAGGGGATCACTGTTCCTAATCAGGCTGAGATTTCTGATGGGCTCCACGCCAACCACACTTCTTCCTCCCCTGCTTTGCTCTGGGGAGAAATGCAAGATGTTTTTGCCAGTGACAGAAGATTTTCCTTCCCCTTGTGCCCATCTCAGTCCTTTATGGGCTTGCAGGGCTCTGGCAAGAGGGAGGCAGGAGTCTCTGGGAAGGGATGTGTGGACTGGAATGCCATTCCTTTTTTGGCCTGCAGACCACCAAAACCATCTGAAAAGTGTCTCACAAGGAGGCAAAGGACTGGTTTGGCTCTGCAAGCACAAGGTTGTCTCCTGTTCCTGTCTTTTTTTGAGAAGTGGAAGGTGGTGAAGGTGAATTTGTGCTTTCCCTGGGCTCATCCTCCTGTGCTGACCTTTGGCCCTGAGGGCTGTGAAGGGTACAGAGTTTTTCAGGAATGGGGGGCAGGTGTGGGGGTGAGCTGGGGGTGCTCTCCATGCACAGAGAGCCTCCAAGGTGTGTTGTGAGCGTTGCATGCTCTGGGTGAGGATGGGGCCACAGCCTTGGCGGTGCCACAGCGGCGTGGGAGCTCTGCCCACACACAGGAATTGGAGTGGTGAAAACACAAGGCAGAGAAAGGTGTTTGTTTCCCATCAAACACACAAACAAACAAACAAACAAACAAACAAACCAGATCTGCTTGTGACTCTCCTCCAGCTGCTCCAGGCAGCGACAGAGGAGCTGGGTTGTTGTTTACCCACTCGGAGAGGAGATAAGGTCAGGAAATCATAGTTGGCTTCTGCAATCCTAAGGGGGAGAGCAAAGCTCAATCTGGCAGATGAATCACTTGCTAGTGACTGCTCTTCTCGATTATTCCTCCATTTCATGAGAATCTGCCAAAACACACACAAATATTTCCACCCAGGCCACAGCAATGCTCCATGCTCTCCTGCAGATCCACACCTGCCTCACCAGGAGCTGATGCGAGTCTGTTGCACATCCTGGGCCAGGGCAGGTCCCAAGACAACCTCCTGGAGAAGAGTTTTGGAAGTCAGTCACAGCCATGGGACAGGTAGGAGATCTTCAGCACAGGCTGCCTTGTCACAGCTGGATGCAAACTACCATTTGCATTAGGTTAAAATCTTGAGTAAATTTGAAATTGCAGCAACATCTGCTGCTTTTTCATTAAGCTTGTGTTGACACCAGAGGAGGGGGACCTTGGAAAGACAGATGGAAAGGAGGGGGAAAGGTGGATTGACTCAGCACAGGCTTTTGAATTGCCTCTGGCAGGAGCCCTGGGCTGGTCCTAGCAGTTTGAGCAAAATGACCTGAAACAAGAAGGTCCCTCCACCTTGAGCTCAGCTTTCCACCCCAGGGAGGGGTCAGGGAATGCAGAGCAAAGCTGTCCACCCGTGGAGTCACCCCCTTCCCAGAATGGGGTCTATGGCACTGCCAAGAGAGCTCCCAGCGGTCTTGGATTGGTTTTGAGAGAGCCTTGCTCAGCTTCTGCAGAGCAGAAGGGATGGGAGCAAACATCTGCCAGCAAACTGAGCCTCACCAAATCCACAGCAGCTGTACCCTGCTTGTCACATCATCTCTCACTCTTCTTCCAGCTCAGATTCTAAAACCACCAGAGGCAAGGAGGAGTGGAGCTTTTCACCACATAAAAACCAACATGTTGCTCATCCTCAGCGCTGCAAAGCTTCAGAACGTGACCCTGGCATTCTCCACCGGTAGCAGAGCAGTTTTATTTTCACTAGAAATTCCCTCCCTTCTTCATGCAGTCTCGAGGCTTTGGGGACCTGACATCTGATTCTGGAGTGCCACTTGTGCAGCGCAGCTGTTCCTCAGCCTCATCCCAGGGCCCCACAGCAGCAGCTTCCCAAACAAACCCAGCTCAAATAAAAAGGGTTATACATGTCTGCAAACAGCCACCCTTGTGCCAGAACTTGTTTGGAGAACTTTTTTCTCCACACTATGCCACCCACCAGCATCATTCCATGATTTCCTGGGCTGTGGCTCATCCTGGCCATGCCAGGAGCTGCCAGCTCCTCTTGGGGGGCTCACACAAGCTCATTAGGACTGTGGTTGACACTGGGATTTGCCATCTGAGGCAGTCATTGGTTTGTCATTTCTCTGGTGATTTTGTTCTCCAACATCCCCAAAGAGAAAGGGATGACTTTCCCATTTGTCCAAGAGGCTGCTGGGTGCCCTAACAAAGCCAGGGATTAACACACTAATTCCTCTGTCCTTGCTCTGCTCTTGTCCATGTTTGGGGCCCAAGCAGAGAGAAATTAGAGCTGACAATGAGCTGAAAAGATCTTCTGGAGATCCTGACCACGATGAGCAACACTGCCAGGTCAGGAGAGCAGGAATACTTCAGGAAAAATGACTCATTCCAGTTGAGAACACGATGCTGCTGCTCCTGCCCTGGGCTCATTCTGTACCAATTCAATTCACCATTTGCTGTGCTGCACTGATGCAAAGGCAGGATGAGGAGCAGGCCAGGGAGAGCACCTGACATGGGGGTTCAGCTCTGCCCTGCCTGGAGCAGGGCTGGCTTCTCCTTTGTTGGACCACTGAATGGGTTGAATAGATTTAGAAACCTGGCTTGAAGTGGCTGCCTGTTCCTGACAAACCCTGAGTGCTCCCTGCAAGTAAAACCCCAGACACTCGCCAGATTTCAAAAGTGATTTGGATGAAGGAATTGTCCCCAAAGCAAGAAGTGCTGTTAATTTTCTCCTTCACTGCAGCAAGGCTGATGGAGGAATGGGGTGGGGCTCCAGGCAGACATCCCAGCCCTGCCCGAGTGGCATAGCTGGATAATTCACTGCTCTCGTGAATATTCAGGTGAGATGTGAATAGAGAACACCTACTTTCCTTCTCTGATTCCCCACGGCAGGACCTGCAGGGGGAAAATCCTCGAACAGAACCACGGCCACAGGGGAAATGAGCAGGGTGCAGGAAGGGGAGCAGCACAAACACCCTTGGAGGGTTCTGTCCTTCCCACCTCCCCCTTGGTACCTGTCCCTCCACCCACTGAGGTACCACATGTGCCCCCAATGGACACTGCCCTGTCACCCCATGAGCAGGGCAGGGGTCACTACCAGCTCTGCAGGCTCTGAGAGGAGCAGGCAAAACCCCATCAGAGTCCTCGTGCCTGCAAAGAATGAACAATAAACTCCAACATTTCATTCTGGACAGACAAGATGGAATTTTTCAGTTTTCTAATGACAAAAAATGTGTAAAAGGAAGGCTATTCACCTAATTTCAACTCAGTAATTTATTTTCTTTCTTCCTCTCTGGTGGAAAGAAATGGAGGAAAGAAGAGGACAAAGCTTAAAACCTTATCAACAACTTCACATGAGTGTCTTCCACTGAAACCAAGGAGGGAAAAGAACATCTTGGCCTGTTCACTGATAAACTTGTCATCCCAACTGCTTCATCTTTCTTTCATCCCAGCTGCTGTATCTTCCCAAAGTATCTCCCCAAAGCCTATGGGAAGCGTGCCCTGTGTCCATCTCCCTCACACTGGCTGTGTCAGCAGCATCCTTAGCACTCCCTGCCCCTGGCCTGGGTTTGCCCATCTAGAGACCAAAAACCTGGGAATTCCAGTTCAAAGTGGAGCTGCCTGGATGGAAGCTCAGTCTGCAGGAACTGCTGATGGAGGGCTAAACCAGAACTGGGGTGGAGCTCCTGGATGAAGGGAAAAGATGCAATGAGGCCCCCGTGCCAGCGGGGCTTTGAGCTGGGGATTAGGGATGAAGCTGTCAGGTAAAGGTGGAGAAGTTGGTGAAACTGTAATAAGACACAATTTTCAAAGCCTGTCAGATTCATGGGTTTGAACTGGAAGGATGATTTATTCAAAGGCTTGGGTCAGAGGCTGTGCTATTCATTCCCTCCAGCAGCCTCTCCTACACTATTCTTTAGGATGATTCAGCCTCCTACTCGGGAGAAGTAAAGCAACAGTCCATTTACCCACCCCACACTGCCACTGCCAAAAGTCTGATCATCCATTTTCTGGAGCCTTACGGACAGAGTTGCCTCTCCCAGAAACCACACACTGCTCATCAATAATTCCCTTCATGCTGAAAAAGAAATGAAAAACCCCCAAACCACCTGATGATTATTTTGTTTGGCCCATTGCTGTTAAAAAAAATCTCCCAATTCCTCGTTGGATGATTGTTCGTAATGCTGAGCACCAGCCTTGGTTTTGGAGCTATTAAGCCGGGTGTTAAATGTGAGTGAGCGTTGGGTTTAGGATTGCTGGGGGAAATCCACCCCATTTCTGCTATTGCTCTGAGCAAAGCTGGGCCCTGAGCAGGAAGTGTGGGATGAGTGCTTTGGGATGCTCTTGGCATGGCAGAGACTTAGGCAGAGCTCACAGAAACTGGGGGGGCTGAAAAGCCACAGGTTTTGGTCCGGCCCTGTGGTTTCATAGAATATCCTGAGTCTGAAGGGATCCACAGGGATCATTGAGTCCAGATCCTGGCCCTGCACAGACACCCAACAAACCCACCCCGTGCTTGGGAGCTTTGAGCAGCCTTCAAGACTGAGCTTTTGTGGAGCAGGAGGAGGTGGATGAGTGAGGAGATGCGAATGCAGATTTCACTCTGAGGCAAACCAGAGAAATGAGTTGCTGCCACTTTCTGTGTTTTTTTGCCCAGTCAAATACCACAATCAACACACAGAGGATTATAACCATCCCAGAGGCAACTCTGTGGCAGAAAATAAAGGGAAGCAGATGAAAGAAACCCTCTTATTCTTAATTTACTCCAGTTAATTTTAGTCTAATTTGATCACAATGTTCTTCTGTAAATATCAGCCCCTCTTTAATAAGGCAGCATTGGCCACAGAGGCTGTGATTGCGATGCAATCACTCCGTGTGTCGTAAAAGACTTTCTCTGTTAATTGTTAGGGGGAACTAGAGCTATTCTGAGGCAGGTACAGGATTGCAAAGAGAGATAATTATAACCCAATCTAATTAGTAATTATAACAGACCTCTCCTAGAAATTGTTTTTTACCTAAATATTCCCCTGGTCCTCCTAACCAGCCGTCTGTGCTGCTGTCAGGAGGTTTGGGCAGGGACAGGGTTGGGCACTGAGCTGCTGTGTCCCTGTCCCTGACCCAGGGCTGTGATGGAGCCTCGGTGCTGGCACCTGCCAGGGGAGGGAGCAGGGAGACAGGCAGAGCTGAGACAGGAGAGGGTGCTCTAGCCACAGCAATGGAGATGTGGAGGGCCATGGGGTGTCCTGTGCCGGGGGCTCGCAGGGTGAGGGGTCCTGCTGCCTCCACACACATCCAGGAACGCCGCTCCTCCCGGAGTCTGCAACAGCAGCAGAAATCATAGAGGGTTTAGGGGAGATGGGCAGACAGGAGAGGCTGCACAGAACGCTGGGAGCCGGCTGGGAATGGCTCCTGGTTTTTTTCAGTTGTGTTAATGGATGCAATCCCTCCAAACCTTGCTGTGACACAGCTCAGACCCCAGGACACAGCCCGGGGCTCTCGGCCACTGAGACACATCACAGAGTGTCACGAGAGACAGCCAGGTCCAGGGAGGCAAAGGAGCACAGGCACACCTAGAGTGTGGCAGCTTTCCAGGTGGGTGGGATTGCATGAACTGGTTTTGTCCCAGTGGAGGACTGCCCAAATAAATTGTTTTTCAGTTCATTTCAGTTGTAGCAGAATCCTTCATTCCAAAAGGGAAACTTTTCAAACCTCGGCAATTTTCCTCTCTCAGTCTTCTTGCTGCCTCTGCACCAGCCAAAGATATCCCTGAACAGCAAAACACCTCCAAGTGCTGCCTGGGGAGCTGAGACAGAAACCAACAGTGCCAGGAAATGGAGCAGACGGACCTGAGGAGCCTCTGCACAGAAATCCTTGCACCAGCAGTGGGTGCTCCCTTTCCTCCCCACCCCAACACCATCCTACGGTGGGTCCTTGTGATGCCCAACGTGCTTTGGAGGAGTTGCACAGCTCAGCCTCTGCAGCACAGACAGACAGGACTTTGCTGCCAACCTTCCCAGATTGCCAAGAAATGGTGCAACCTCAGGAATTACACAGAAAAGTATCAACAAACAGGAAACCTCAGTGATGGAGCGGGAGCTGTCCTGACATGGTCCTTTCTGCCATGACAGGGCTGAGAGATGCGAGGAGTAATTAAACACAGCTATCAAAAGCTGGCCTTAAAGGGTTTAATCTTTGAAATCCAGGCTCTAATTATGGGGCTGCACCAATTCTGACCCTGAACTGATGCGCTATTTTTTAACCAAGTTATTTTTTCCAAGCAGAGCCGTCTCCGGGGGCTCGGCTGGGCAGCAGCGTTAGCTCACAGCTGGGAACGGGCTAACTAGGCCAGCACTGCGGGAATTCTCTGGGATTGTTTTTTTTCTGCACATCTCAGTATTATTCCAGCAGGGAACACCTGCAGACAGGAACCTGTGAGCAGCACACGTGTGTGTGACGGGGGGAACCACCACGAGAGGAGCAGGAGGCAGCAGGGGCTCATGGTGCCACGGTGTCCAGAGGGATGCTGCTCCAAAAGCAGGATGCTAAACCTGGAGCAGGACGCTAATTTGAGAGCATGATGCTAATCTGAGAGTGGGAGGCTGCTCTGAGAGTGGGATGCTAATCTGAGAGTCTCATGCTAAACTAAATCTGGGATGTTAAACCAGGAGCAGGTTACTAATCCAAGAGTGGGATGCTAATCTGAGATCTGGATGCTAATCTGAGAGTCTCATGTGATCTAAATCTGGGATGCTAAACCAGGAGCAGGATGCTAATCTGAGTGCAGGATGTTAATTTTAGAGAGGGATACTAATCCAAGACCAGGGATGATAATCCAAGAGCAGGATGCCAGTCTGAGAGCAGGATGTTAATTTTAGAGTGGGATACCAATCTAAAATCAGGA